CATGTCTCAGAACTTACGATCTAATATAAATAGAGTCTTGTTCTACTTAAGAATGTTACTGGGCATAATACATAAATTTCTAATATTGATCTCTTTCTTTCATTGATCTGTTACCTTTGCCTTGTTTATATTTTAGGGATTTCATTAATTTAAATGTTTATTCATTCTCAGTTGAGGAAAAATCTATCTGGCCCAAATATTTGCTACTAATGGTATATGACTTACCCTTGGCCCCAAACATTAATTGGATCCTTCTCATATATATAGATGCATAATATATTAATTAACAGCTATTAGAATAATTCCTAGGTTTTCATCTAGAGTAGCTCTACTGGTTTAAGAAAGGATCTTACTATGGTCAACTCCCCCATTCTCAGAATAGATGGAGAACATGAAAACTACAACCTGAAGTGTGTAGGTGTGTGTGTGTGTGTGTGTGTGTGTGTGTGTGTATAGTTATTGGATCTCCTTCTGCCTTATTGATGTATTCAGTACTTTATTTACAGGGACATTATTTCTCAGGATACAATGTACCATCCCTGAATTATTTTCTCTTTCCACCACTGTCCAATTTTTCTCAAAATTACTGTCTCCAACTAGATGAGAGTTAGGGACATAAACATATAGTAGCACAATAGAGGCCTCAAAAACTACTGAGACATCTGATCAGAGTTTTACTGGTACAGGCATCTTTCTGTCTTCTGAACTGGGGATTGAAAGTGAAAGAGTGATCAAAGTTTCCTTTCTGGTAGCCATTAAATGATTGTGTCTTTTTTCCCCATTAAGTGTGTTTTTATTTAAATTCCAGTTCATATGCAGTGTAATATTACTTTCAGGTATACAATATAGTGATTCAACACTTCCACACCTCACCAGTGCTCATCACAAGTGTCCTCCTTAATCTCCATCACCTATCTAATCCATCCCCCCACCCACCTCCCTTCTGGTAACCATCAGTTTGTTCTCTTTAGTTAAGAGTCTGTTTCTTGGTTTGTCCCCCCTTTAATCCCTTTGCTCATTTGTTTTGTTTCGTAAATTCCACATGAGTGAGATCATATGGTATTTGTCTTTCTTTAACTTATTTTGCTTAGCATAATACTCTCTAGCTCCATCCATGTTGTTGCAAATGGCAAGATATCATTCTTTTTTTATGGCTAAGTAATGTTCTGTTGTATATATACACCACTTCTTTTTTTTTTTTTTTAAGATTTTATTTATTTATTTGAAAGAGAGAGTATGAGCAGGGATAGGGGCAGAGGGAAAAGCAGACTCCCCATTGAGCAGGGTGCTCAACACGGGGCTTCATCCAGGAACCCGAGATCATGACCTGAGCCAAAGGCAGATGCTTACCCAACTGAGCCACCCAGGCACCCCTGTACTACATCTTTTTTTTTTTTTTTAAAGATTTTATTTATTTATTTGAGACAGAGAGAATGAGAGAGACAGAGAGCACATGAGAGGGGGGAGGGTCAGAGGGAGAAGCAGGCTCCCCGCCGAGCAGGGAGCCTGATGCGGGACTCGATCCCGGGACTCCAGGATCATGACCTGAGCCGAAGGCAGTCGCTTAACCAACTGAGCCACCCAGGCGCCCCCTGTACTACATCTTCTTTATTCATTCATTCATCAATCAACAGACACTTGGACTGTTTCCCTAATTTGGCTATTATCGATAATGCTGCTATAAATAGAAGGGTGCATATGTCCATTTAAGTTAGTATTTTTGTATTCCTTGGGTAAATACCCACTAGTGTGATTGCTGGATCATAGGATAATACTATTTTTAACTTTTTGATGAACCTCCATACAGCTTTCCAGAGTGGCTGCACCAGTTTGCATTCCCATTAAAAGTGCAAAAGGGTTCCCCTTTCTCTACATTCTCACGAACACCTGTTGTTTTTTGTTGATTTTAGCTATTCTGACAGGTGTGAGGTGATCTCTCATTGTGGTTTTGATTTGCATTTCCCTGATGATCAGTGATGTTAAGCATCTTTTCATGCGTCTGTTGGCCATCTGCATATCCTCTTTGGAAAAATGTCAATTTGTGTCTTCTGCCCATTTTTATTTATTTATTTATTTATTTTTTATTTGCGCGAGAGAGAATGAGAGACAGAGAGCATGAGAGGGAGGAGGGTCAGAGGGAGAAGCAGACTCCCTGCCGAGCAGGGAGCCCGATGTGGGACTTGATCCCGGGACTCCAGGATCATGACCCGAGCCGAAGGCAGTCGCTTAACCAACTGAGCCACCCAGGCTCCCCTTCTGCCCATTTTTAATTGGATTATTCATTTTTGGGGTGTTGAGTTTTATAAGTTCTTCATATATATATTTATAAAAATATGTCATCTGCAAATATCTTTTTCCATTCCGTAGGTTGCCTTTTAGTTTTGGTGATTGTTTCCTTCCCTGTGCAGAAGCTTTTTATTTTGACAGAGTCCCAATAGTTTATTTTTTATTTTGTTTCCCTTGCCTCAGGAGACATATCTAGAAAGAAGGTGGTACAGCTGATGTTAAAAAAATTACTTTACTGCTTATGTTCTGTTCTAGGATTTTTATGGTTTCATGTCTCACATTTAGGTCTTTAATCTATTTTGAATTTATTTTTGTATATGGTGTAAGAAAGTGTTCCAGTTTCATTCTTTTGCATGCTGCTGTCCAGTTTTCCCAACACCATTTATTGAAGAGACTGTCTTTCTCCCACTGGATATTCTTTCCTGCTTTGTCGAAGAATAACTGACCATGTAACTGAGGCTTCATTTCTGGGTTTTCTATTCTGTTCCATTGGTTTATGTAGCTATTTTTGTGCCAATACCATACTGTTTTGACTACTATAGCTTTGTAATATAACTTGAAGTCTGGAATTGTGATGTCTCCAGCTTTGTTTTTCTTTTTCAAGGTTGTTTTTTGGCTATCTGGGGTCTTTTGTGGTTCCATACAAATTTTAGGATTGTTTGTGCTAACTCAGTGAAAAATGCTGCTGGTATTTTGACACGGATTTCATTAAATGTGTAGTTTGCTTTGGGTAGTATAGACATTTTAACAGTATTTGTCCTTCCAATCCATGAGCATGGAATGTCTTTCCATTTCTTTGTGTTATCTTCAATTTCGAAGTACAGGTCTTTCAACTCTTTGGTTAGGTTGATTCCTAGGTATCTTACTGTTTTTGGTGCCACTGTAAATGAGACTGATTCCTTAATTTCTCTTTCTTCTGCTTCATTACTGGTATATAGAAATGCAACAGATTTCTATGTTAATTTTATATCCTGTGACTTTACTGAATTTATCAGTTCTAGCAGTTTTTTGGTGGAGTCTTTTGGGTTTTCTATATATAGCATCATGTCATCTGCAAATAGTGAAAGTTCTACTTCTTCCTTGCTGATTTGGATGCTTTTTATTTCTTTGAGTTGTCTGATTGCTGAGGCTAGGACTTCCAGTACTACGTTGAATTAAAGTGGTGAGAGTGGACATCCCTGTCTTGTTCCTGCCCCTCGAGGAAAAGCTCTCTGTTTTTCCCCACTTGGGATGATATCAGCTGTGGGTTTTTCACATATGGCCTTTATTATGTTGAGGTATGTTCCCTCTAAACCTACTCTGTTGAGGGTTTTTATCATGAATGTATGTTGTACTTTATCAAATGCTTCCTCTGCATCTATTGAAAATGATCACATGGTTCTTTTCTTTTATTAATGTGATGTATCGCATTGATTCATTTGTAAATATTGAACCACCCTTGCAACCCAGGAATAAATCTCCATTAAGTGTGTTTTTAAAATCACAGCATTGCATGCAGTGGAAATTTCTTCTAGTTCTTGGTTATAGGCTTAATAATTAATCCTACCATTTGGTAATATGAGCATTTTTATGGTTCTTTTTTTCAGTAGCATCATAGTGGGGAATTAGAAGCAGTTGTACCAAGCACTTTAACTTAGTTACCATTAGATACTTGCTTGGTCCTCTTAAAGTTAACCCAAAAAATCTGCCTAAGACTAGGGAAAATTCCTCATTTGTGTGCAATTTCTACACATATAAAGATGTCTACTGACAAATCATGAAAAAATTTTTTATCTAAACTGAACCGAGTCATCTCCTATGAACCACTCTAAATGTTATTCCATCAATCAAAACCCTACACCACACCAACTCAGTATTCTTATCTTAAAATCCCCACAGGAAATATTTATTGAATTGCTGCATGGGGTGCTATTCATTTTCTAAATCTGCAGTTCCCCTGTGGTGATCTCATAGGGGTACTTGGGATATTTTAAGATTCTGTGGAAACAACAGTGATAACTGGTATCTAGTATACAGTGCACAAGCTACTAGCTCAAAGTAGTTTAAAGTTTCAATATTAGATAATGCCACATTCCTTTCAGTGCTGTTGTATCTTTGCACTAGATTTTTGACAATTTCTGTAGTAAAAGCAGCAAATAACTGTGGTTGTGTAAAATTTCATCTCAAGGTTTGAGAAGCTGTACAGTGTTCTAACAGCTGCACATACCGCATTAGTAAGTAACTGTGGTTATTTATAAACAAAGTAAAATATTTTCTTTCAAAACCTAAAACTAAAAGGAAATACCTAATATTTTTGTTTATTGTTAGATCAAAACAATAAGTATTTATGTCTTAATAACTTACAGCTGTTTGAAAAAATACCTCTTGTGTTTATATGTGTTCTACATAATGAGAACAAAAAAATTACCAAAATACTAAGGGCACTGTGAACAGAAAAAACTTGGAAACCTTTGTCTGAAATGAAGTCCACTAACCCAAACAAACAATTTACCCATACAATTTTCTTCATTAAATACTTATTAAATGTTTTCATATACATAATACATCTCACCAAATAACTCACTTTTCTGAACCAGAGACTGAGACACGAAAAGCTGCGTATTTCACTGAAGGATTAAATATCACTGAGCTTTCATATGTCATTCTAGAATTAACCAGCCAATCCACAAGTAAATTTTCAAAAAATAAAATTCTGAATAATTTATGCATAATACCTGAGTGTGAGCTCTCAATGGTGGTATCTGATCTGGAATCCAGAGATGAAGGAATTTGTTTTAATTGTGGAACATAGTACATCTTCGTACTACCAGGAGGCTTATATGGCAACAATGAAGGTTGGGCTAAGGAGATAAAGAAAGATCAGAACAATTAATAAGAAAACATTTATTAATTCACTGAATAAATATTGAGTGCCTTCCATGTGCCAAGCACTGTACAAGATTCTTGGGATATATCAGGGTGCCTCACTGGCTCAGTCGGAAGAGCATGTAACTCTTGATCTCCGGGTTGTGAGTTCGAGCTCCACATGGAGTGTAGAGATTACCTAAATAAACTTTAAAAAAAGGATTCTTAGGATATATCAGTGGACTAAAACAGAAAAATACCTCTGCCTTCAAGAAGAGCTAGCCTTCTAGAGGGAGGAGGTATACATCTGTGCCAAAGTAATAATTTGATTATTATAGAGGAGATTTATATATATATACATATACTTGTTTTTGTCTCTCTGAAGTCAAGGGAAACAAAAAGTGTATAGAGGAGGGGAAATTTTAAACAGACAAAATAGGTTATAGCCTCCACTTCTATTTGGTCATATTCCTCCTTCTAGAGGAAAGAGGTAAACAACAAACATATTAAATAAATTATTTAGTATTTTAATAAATTTCAAGTTACATAAAAAAGACAATTAGAAAATGTTGAGAGGTAGGACTACTGGGGAAATCGGGGTAGGATGCAATTTAAACAGGGTGGTAGGGTAGGCCTTATTAGATGAGTTTTTTAGCAATCTATTCCATGTACAGATGGCTTTAACTAAAAACCACTTTATCTTATACTGAACTCAAACTCGTTAAACTCTTACTACCGGTCTTACTGTCTTATTCTGTCCCAAGAGTCATAAAAAGTAAGTCAAATTCTCTTCTACATGACAGATCTTCAAAATAAAGTTTCTTTTTTTTTTTTTAAATAAAGTTTCCATTATAGAAGTATAAATTCTCGACATTAAGAAAATACATAAAAGTAATACTTGGTATAGTTAGTTGTGTTGTTGTTACTAAATTTTAGCTTTCTAAAGGGTGTGTAGTGGCATATCATTATGGTAAAAATTTGCATTGCCCTAATAATTATGTTTAGAATCTTTTTAAGTTGTTATTGCCATCAAATATAAACCAGTAGGAATAACAGTGAATTTAGCACAGTCACTGCACACGATATTGGTATAAAGAAATACAATTATATTTCTATACACCAGTAAAACCACATGGGAAAAAATACTGTATACAATGTCATAAAAAATATAATATCAAATATCTAATGAATAAATGTAAGGAAAGATTTCTTCACTGAAAACTGCAAAATGCTGATGAGTAAAATTAAAAACAGATGAATGGATATACCACGCTTATGAATTAAAATATTCAATAGTGTAGACACGCTAATTACCCCAACATTAAAAAAAAGGAATAAATAAAAGTAAAAAAGACAAAGTCCTACCACTCAAAGATAACTGTTTTTTTTTTTTTATAGTTATATATCCTGTTTGGGTCAACTTTCTCTCTTTTTTTTTAAATTTATTTATTTGAGATAGAGAATGAGAGAGAGAGCACAAGAAGGGGGAGTCAGAGGGAGAAACAGGCTCCCTGCTGAGCACGGAGCCCAGTGTGGGACTCGATCCCAGGACTCCAGGATCATGACCTGAGCCGAAGGCGGTCGCTTAACCAACTGAGCCACCCAGGCACCCAAAGATAACTGTTATTAACATTTTAATGTATTTCCTATGTGTCCTTTCTCTCTGTCTTATGTGTATACACAGTTCTCTGCATATACTATGTATAATATGGAATTCAGTGTTTCTACTTGGCATTTAAAATAAAACATTCATTTTATTTCCTGTCTTTACATTTTATGTGGCTATACTACAGATTAAATGTTTTAAACACTTCTCCTAATGTTGAAAATTTAAGCGGAGTTAAATTTTCAATTATAAAGAATTCTGTGAATAAAGATTTTCCTACGTATAGCATATCCATTTTCCCCTCTTACCCCAGCTCAGGTAAATTCTCTGATTAGAGAGTGAAAAATTATACCATTTATAAAGTTTGTTTTTAAAAACACTAACTGCTAAAATATTTTCTAAAATGTCTGTACCAAAGTAATAATTTGATTATTATAGAGGGGAGACACACACACACACACACACACACACACTTGTTTTTGTCTCTCTGAAGTCTGGGGAAACAAAAAAGTATATAGATGAGGGGAAATTTTAAACAGAAAAAATAGGCTATAGCCTCCACTTCTATTTGGTCATTACTGTAGTCATTGTTAGAATATTGACTGATTAATTTTCTTCCTCTACCAGTGTATATAAAACTTAATAGTGATGGTTAAATTTACTAGTTGAAAGGCTACAAAAAAGATGAATAACACGTGGGCAGGATTACAATGGACACAGAGCAAGAATGGCTATCATACAGAGCTGGAGAATTCTGAGACAGATAAGTGGCTTTTCAAAATTCTTGACAACTTTATGTTTGGATGCAATAGTTTTAAGGTTACTTTGGCCTGGCTGCCTATGGGGGAAGAAGTGACTACACGGCAAATAATCGTTGCTCTTAGGAAAGGAAAAAAAAAGATTAGAGAAGGGTAAAGAAGAAAATTCAACTATAAAATTTATTTTTTCAAAAACTTGGAAAATAGAACCAAATATACACATACAGTATATTATTCTGAATCTGTTAGAGTATTGAGCAAAGTCATGTGTTTAACATACTATTCTTTGTAAGTTAAAATGTTTTCATACAAAAAACCCTCACAAAATTTTACTTTTAAATACACAGTAGTATTAAAAATAATATTTTTTCAGTAAGCCAAATGATATTAATCCTTTAAAGGAATCCTTTCTCCCAGGTTCTGTATGCAAAGGTGAAAACATAAATTATGGCCTCTATATAAATTGATGCATTTGATATGAGTAGGGGTTTAAAACACACTTTCACAGTTGGGAGCTCCCCTCTTGCGCTTCTGGCATCACCATGAGAACAATATAACCCAGGGTAGGTATTGTTCCATTAGCTTGGGTTTCAGAAGAAGGCATATGGAACAGACCCAAACCATTTCTTTTTTTTTTTAAGATTTTATTTATTTATTTGACAGAGAGAGAGACAGCGAGAGAGGAAACACAATCAGGGGGAGTGGGAGAGGGAGAAGCAGGCTTCCCACAGAGCAGGGAGCTTGATGCGGGGCTCGATCCCAGGACCCTGGGATCATGACCTGAGCTGAAGGCAGATGCTTAACAGACTGAGCCACCCAGGCGCCCCAGACCCAAACCATTTCTGTAGCCTAAAGCTAAACTCCAACTGAATCACAAAACCCATGAGTGAAAAAAGTGAATGTTTGTTGTTACAAAGCACAGAGATTTGTGAGGTTGTTTTCCAGTATCACTGTGGCACTAGGTAACTGACATACAAAGATGTTCTCTGTGATATTTATTAAACTGTAGATTTGGGGGTATGTTTTTATTTTACCTTAAAAATGTATAAGAATTATAATCATCTTAACATATAAATGTACTTGTTTAAATTAAATTCATTCAAAGTTAAATGCTGAACCAAGAAATTTTCTTTATATATTTAGGCATATCCCATCTTTATCTACAGACAGATAACCTTTTTGCATAAAGAGGAAAACTTAAAATAATATTTTCAGTAGACTTGCACACTATTAAATTCTTAAATTAGTAACTTAAAGTTCCCACTCTCACTTGAGGGAAGAATGGGAACTTAATTATTAATTTTCCTGCTACTGGTCTGGAAAAGAAAAAACGTGCTCTATTTTAATGTTATATAGTATAAGCACTACTGAAATACCACTGTCACAGCATATGAACACTCTAAATGTAGACCTTTGGGTAGAGATTGCTAGCTGTTCATCAAAATCTACTTTTTTTTTTCTTTTTTAGATTTTATTTATTTATTTGAGATAGAGCGAGCGAGAGAGAGAGAGCCACAAGCAGAGGGAGGAGCAGGCTTCTCACTGAGCAGGGAGCCTGATGTGGGACTCGATCCCAGGACTCCAGGATTATGACCTGAGCCGAAGGCAAACACTTAACCAACTGAGCCACCCAGGCGCCCCAAAATCTACTTTTTTATCCTCAAAATCACAGCTAAACCATTTCCTAGCTAGGAGAAAGTGATCTGAGCCACTTCTAGGCCTAGCACATGTGCTTCTCCATGTTTTATCCCTTCTAGTTGACTGTGATGGTGAATCCAAGGTAATTATGGATTCTGTGTTTTAAAGACAGCAGGGCCACAGTCAGCCTGGGTCCCTGGTCATTGTTTTATAAGCAAGAAACAGACTGGTATTGTGTTTGCACTATTACCTGTATTTTCATCTATTTATTATAGTTTGTAACATTTAATATAATATAAAATGGCAATAATTCACCTGCCCACCTAAAACCAGACCTCCATAGTTTTTAAATTCTAAGTATCATGAGATAAAAATAAGTCAACAACAAGCAGCATGAGTCCCACATAAGTTGTTAACTCCTCCAGAAATTAAGGCAAAAATATAATCACACTCCTTTCATAGCTATGTAAATAAAAGATGGATAGAATCATGTGGATCCTAATGTTTAAAATTAAAATTAGGTTTTCTGACTACAAAGACCCCCTCACAAATTTCTGGGATCATTTCCTACAGAAGTTGGTAATATGACCTAAAATGTAATAACATTCTCTTACCATCTGTGCCATGAGGATGAGTAATCTGTTGAACTGAAGATGATGAAGCAAATGTGGTAGGAACTTTGCCCAGCTTCTGGGCACTGGGCTCTGGAATTTCAAGTCCACGATCATCATCATTAATAAAAATCTCAGATGAAAACATGGTTTTTCCTGGACTTTCTGTTGTTATCTGAGTGACTGCATCAGATGACGATTTTCCAGGGAAGGCAGAAAATGGGGTCTTAATCACCTCTGATGGTCTGAACAAAAAAGAGAAAGGACACAGAAGGTAATATCCGTGGCTTATCAAATACTGTAATCTCTTTCCAAAGGTAGATTCGGAATATTTTGTGGAGATACATCAACCTCAAATGGTTAAGTTATTTCAGCATTACCCTTTGCTATCTTAAATACTTACTATAAGGCAATGATGCATGAGTTTACTTTATTCATTTAAAAATCTACTTTAAATTTCAATTTAGAATACTATTATATAATTTAGCTAAGGAAACTACTTTTCAGTCAAAGTAAAAATATAATCATTTTAAAAAATTACTTGAAGTCTACTATAAATTAAGGGACTGCGTTAAATGCATAGAGTGTACAAAAATAAATAAGAAATAAAGACTTGCCTCAAGAAGTTTATTGTCAGTGGGAGAACCAGAGGTTTTTAAGATTGTAATTATGTACTAAGATTTTAGAGAATTAATATTAAGACAGAATAGAGCAAATAAATGATTAAAAAAATGAGAGGAGACAAATCTTTTTTACAGAAGAATTCCAGAAAAATATATGCAGATACCTCCCCATCCAAAGAGATGAACATTAATCTCTCCCTTCTCCCTTGAGTATAGGCTGGACTTATTAATTGGATTCCAAAGAACAGAGTAATAAAAAGGAATAAATAGTTATCTTACAGTGGAGAAACATAACAAACACCATATTAGTCAAGTGATGATGGTTCACATCACCAATATTGTCATGTGGATGTCGCATACTCTCTGCTATGATGTGAAAAGATGGGTATTTCCCTTCTATGGTATTTTTTGCCAAAACCCATAATTCCAGTCTAATCATCCAAAATATTAGCCAAACAAAGATTGACCAATATTCCTCAAAACTGTCAAAATCATGAAAAACAAGGAACGAGGAACTGCCATTGACAAAAGGAGACTAAAGAGATATGACAGCTAACTAAAGGGAATGTGATATACATTGGGTCCTGGAACAAAAAAAAAAGGTTATTGATGAAAAAAATGTGAAATATAAATAAAATCTGGTGTAGTTAATAGTAATGTACAAATGTTGGCTTCTTAATTTTGACAGATGTACATTATGGTAATGTAAGATGTTAACAGGAAAAGCTGGGAGATGGGTATAGGGAACTCTATTATGTTTGTATCTTTTCTGTAGATCTAAAATTACTCAAAAATATGAAGGTATTGAGGCACCTGAGTGGCTCAGTTGGTTAAGCGTCTGACTCTTTTTTTTTTTTTTTTAATAATCATTTTTTTTTTTTATTCATGAGAGACAGAGCGAGAGAGAAAGGCAGAGGGAGAAGCAGGCTCCCAAGGAGCAGGGAGCCCGATGCGGGACTCGATCCCAGGACCCTGAGATCATGACCTGAGCCGAAGGCAGACGCTTAACCATCTGAGCCACCCAGGCGCCCAAGCGTGTGACTCTTGATTTCATCTCAGCTCATGATCTCAGGGTCGTGGGATTGAGCCCTGTGCTCAGTGGAGAGTCTGCTTGGGATTCTCTCTCTCCCTCTCCCTTTGCCCCTCCCCCTGCTCACACACACACTCACTCTCTCTCTCAAGTATTTTTTTAAAATAAGAAATAAAAAGTTATTTTTTTAAAAATAGAGTAATATTGTATTATTTTGGAGTAACAGTTATATCACAAAATAGAAGAACTTCTGAATTCCTACCTTCTGCCTACCTTGAAAAGGACAATTAGGAGAAAAGAAAATAATAGACCAATCTCCTTTATGAATCTAAAAGTAAGAATCCTAAACAAAATCCAAAAGAAAATCATAAACAAAATCCAAAACCAAATGGATGTATGTGAATTCTGACTGAGATGGTTTACTCCTGGAATGCAAGGTGAATTAACACTCAAAAATCAATCAATATATTCACCACATCAATAAAATAAAGGAGAAAATGCATATGACCATATAAATATAGTCAAATAAACTATTTAATAAAACTCAATAATTCTGTAGCTAAAACCTCATAGCAAAGGGAAACCACAAAAAACTTTAGAGCAACCATCCTATTTATACTGAAATGCAGAAAATGTTCACTTCACTTCACTGTGAGATTAGGAACAAAATAAGAATGCCAATTCTTACCATTTCTGTTCAACTTTAGTAAAGGTCTTAAATGGCATTAGCAGTAAGTCAGAAAAAAGAAATGAGAGATAGAAGGATAAGAAAGGAAGAAATAATACTGCCACTCTTCATATTTGATATAATTAGGCACACAGGAAATCCAAAACAATTTAAACATAACTCACTAGAATATAAATAAGTTTTTAGGAAAGTTGACAGGAGACAAAAATTTTTAAAAATCCACTACATTTTTTGGTATCAGAAAAGTTATGGAAGCATCAGGAAACAATATCATCTAATATACTAGAGGGGCATTTTGGAGATTATGGGCAGGGACAGAGTACAGACAGACATACTCCACTGGGAAAGAGAAATCACCAGAGCTTTTGATGAACTCATGGGCTGGCATGATGGAGTGAAATCTAGCAGAATGCCAAGTCAATTTTTCCCACAGGACATTTTCTTAGTATCAGGATGGTATGGGAGAATGGAAAACTAAGTCAGAAAAGCAGAGTGAAATCTTCATAGTCATGGCACTAATAACAAACGAAGGCCCACTAGACAGAGGGGCCTGTAACAAACATCAGGTCTCCTCCTCAAGACATCTGCCAGATTCTGAACCTGAATAAGGCAGGAAGCTAAATAATTACTGCCCGAGGGAGAGAACTTTCAAACCTGAGGACATATTCCAGACACACAATAAAAAACCCAGAAGTACCATCCCCAAGAAGGGGGCTGAGCCAGGAAAAGTGAAATCACTTGCAATGTTTGAGTTCTTATGAGACAAATGTCCCTTAAGAAAGTATAACTACAATGAATATATAGCTGGGCTCCCCTTACATTTGCCATATTCTAAAGGTGCAAGAGCTGAGAGCTGAAAGAGCTGAACTCAAATATCTGAGATACTAAAGTGAGTATCTCACTGTATTTACCTACTGAAGAGTCAAAGATCTGTCAGGCTTAAAGCATAAATCCAGGGAGGCCAAAGATCAGGAAAAATCAAAAGTATAATGAGTTGGGGCACCTGGGTGGCTCAGTGGGTTATGCATCTGTCTTCAGCTCAGGTTGGGGATCGAGTTCTGCCTCGGGCTCCCTGCTCAGCGGGGAGCCTGCTTCTCCCTCTCCCTCTGCCGGCTGCTGCCCCTGCTTGTTCTCTCTCTCTTTTTGTCAAATAAATAAAAAATCTTAAAAAAAAAAAAAAAAGTATAATGAGTCAACTATAGCTCCACCCCAGTGCTGACCCAGTAAAACTCCTGACATGACTGAAGTAATCAGCCACTTTATATGCTCAACAGAGAAAAGGGCAAATCCTCTTGTTGGAAAGTAACAGCATCCTCAGTCCCTATGATTTTTTAAATTCACAACATCCATTGCATAATCAAAAATTACGAAATTTATCAAGCAGAAAAAAGTGACTAAAAATTGAGAGAAAAAAGAGGTAAGAAAAACTGTTTTACAGAGGATTCAGATACTGGAATTAGTGCAGAAAGAAAAACTTTAAAATGATTGTGAATATATTAAGAGATCAAAATACGGGAGATAACAGATCATATAGGGATTCTCAAAAGAAAGTAAGAATCTACTTTTTAGAATCAAATACAGAAAAAATAAAAAAATAACAGGACAGAACCCCAGCAGATCTCAGGAAATACTAAAAAAATTTTTAGGGTCAAATAAAACAATCCAACATAGTACAGAACTATAGAAAAGATGAAGGCACTTAGAGTCTGTGTGTGTGTGTGTATAATACATACAAGTACATATACATATACACACATACATATGCACCTTTTTATATATACTTGTATACTCTATATTTCATATGAAATAAAATAAACAACAACAACTTGTGGTGATTTATAAAAATGTAGAAAATAAATACACGCACAAAAGCAAGAGCAGGCAAATGGAGCTAAACTATTATAAGAGTTTAATTGGGGCACCTGGGTGGCTCAGTCAGTTGAGCAGCCAACTCTTGATTTCAGCTCAAGTATGATCTCAGGATTGTGAGATTGAGCCCTGCATTGGGCTCTGTGCTGAGTGAGGAGCCTGCTTAAGATTCTGTCTCTCTCCCTCTCCCTTTGCCCTTCCCCACCTCCACTCAGGCACACACACTCTCGCTCTCTAAAGAAAACAAAAACAAAAACAAAAAAACTCTTAAAAAAAAGATTTTCTTTATTTGAGAGAGAGAGAGAGAGCAGCAGACTCCCTGCTGAGCTTTGGAAGCTCGACGCCGGGCTTGATCCCAGGACCTTGGTATCATGACCTGAGCTGAAGGCAGATGCTTAACTGACTGAGCCACCCAGGCGCCCCCAAAAAGAGTCCTCATTGCTCATAAAGTAGAAAGAATAATAACTTAAAATGAATTGTAAAGTTAAATATAATCTCTAGAATAATCACTAAAAGAGTAATAGAAAAAAGTACAATAAAAAATCCAACAGAGGGACCTCCTCCCCACTCGTGTGCTCTCTCTCTCGCTGTCTGTCCCTCTCTCAAATAAATAAATAGATCTTAAAAAAAAAAATCCAACAAAAGAGATAACATGAAATAAAAATAATTAAAATAATAAAGGACAGGGAAAACAAATAGAAATAAACAGCAAAATGGCAAACCTTAAAACAATCATTTCAGTAACTATATTAAATATAAATGATCTAAATATCCCAATTAAAATACAAATATCAACAAGGTAAAAATAAATAAAACCAAATTATATGCTATTCACAAGAGATACACTTTAGCATAAGGTGACAGATACACTAAAAGTAGAAGGATAGAAAAAGATACACCAAGGAAATGCTAATCAAAAATAAGCATCCTTTCTCTTTCTCCTCCTCCTACCTTTTTATTCTCCCCTTCCTTTTATCTTTTCTTTCCTGAACAATTAAATTTTAAAGCCATTAGGTGGAGAGAATAAGGTAGGCA